TTACGGAGTTAATTCGAAAAATTTAAGTGACGGTATCGTTATTTTTCACCGATAATTCAGATAAAAATTACGGAACACCGCGGAAAAATTCCGTGACTTTCGATAAAAATTACGTGACAGTTCCGTAAAATTTCCGACAACCACATTTCGCTCCAGAATTACGGAAAATTCACGTAATTTTTATTGAATATTTCTCTCAGTGCATCTTCCGCCCCAAAAATTCCGTGGAAATTCACAAGTAGCTTAAGGCGAACACGACGTTCTGGCGCATTGATATTTGGGAGGAGGGTTGATTTACGTGCCCGTGGGCTTTTGTGCTTCACACAAATCCTCCCGCAGTAGATACGGAATTCACTTCCTCACCCAACCCCTCATTTTCCACCCTCCCCGTGAACCCCAGACTTTCATGCCTACCCGAAACAGAGGGGCCCGTTTCTCTTTCATTCCTGGAAGGTTAGTCGTTGTTGTCCCATACTCTCCAGGAATTTTCAGACTTAATCCGATAATGCGTCGCTACCTAGACAAATAAGCGGTATAAACCCAACTTTTTTACTGCTACCCTCTCTCGGCACTGGCTCTCGTATTCTCGCTTCAATGAGAATGGCGAGAGTCAAGGAATAGCGTGGAATGTAGTACCGGTTCTTGTAAGTTTTATGGCTACGTCAAAGGATTTCTCCACCACCGGAAATACCCAAGTTACCACTTTTCATCAGGCTCTTCCTCGTCCGGATTTATCCCTTTTACAACATTTAACTATTCGCAAGGACAGCCGTAACTCGATACGACCAGTACGTGATTAAATATTCCTGGAGGATTACTCGCTAACAGAACAGTCACAGTCATTATTTCTTTTCATTATTCCGTTGAGTTGTGGAGAATTTTTTAATGATAAAGGCGAATTACGAAAACTTCTTGGAGTTCGCAACTCGTGACTTATAACGAAGTATGATTTTTAAAGTTGAAGAAGGTGAAGTTAGATTTTGAAGTGGATACGAGTTATTGAAGACGAGGGAAAATAATAGGATTCGGTTAATGGGTTGAAGATTATTGTCATGACGATCTTCGCAGACGTCGACCGTCACGATGACGCGAGATCTTCGTCGAAAGTTCGTATAAAGTTTCATCAACCTAACTTTTCTGTCGTCCAACCTGGACTAATCAAAAGCAAATATATAATCTCGGAAAAGTTTTGGTGGATAAAAAGGCATTGTGTGACGAGGCTTGGAAAGAAGTCACGGAAGCCGTTAGTACATCCAACGCTATTGTACTCTATCTACTCGTCACCTCTATTATCCTTCTTCGGATCTCGCTACTAGTACTGTCACCTCTGAGGAAGTAAACTTCAGAGGATTTGGACAAATTCCGGGAGAAATGAGGGTGAACTTTTCAGCTGTCCAGGAGAATTTATCGGAGCATCAGGTGCTTTGATGACGATCCTGCTAATTTCAAACGGCAATTATATTTTCCGGCTCGATTCACTTATTCTACATTTCGTTATTTTAGTCTCTTAAAGTGCCATAATTTGAGGCTTTAAATATTTCTGAGTGAATTCGAAAGTTTATTCCTTTGAGAGTTACTTTGAAAAGTCTCAAGCGAGAACCTTTGAAATTTTATTTGGAATTTTTTCTGGGTGGGGGGAGTCTAATGTTGTATTCACTCCCACTTTTTGAATCGTGAGAGAATTAAACCGTGTACGACTGGATAATAAAGAATTAGGTCACTCCTGACTGGACGGCGAGATGAGGATCGTCATACGGGTAGAATATGTAATTACGCAACTCTCTTTCATACGGTAGAAGCGGAACTGCGCAATATTGTGAGGATTGAATCAATTACTCACAGAGCACCCATGTTATTGAGTTAAAAGAATTTCATGTGAGTGCAAAATTTCAGCTAAAACCATTTTTACGAATTATTCGAACACCGGAAATCTGTCAAAATGACGTGCGAATATTTCACTCACGTCTGTATCTGAATTATTCATTCATCAATATCGAATGCCCTCCGTTATACCCAAATTTCAAGCTTTTCGATTTTTCCATGAGCACTTGATAGAAAATGAAGAGAAAAAATTATTTCCACGTGGAAAATTTCATTACATTGAATATGAAAATATTGTAAATTTTCTGATTCCGGGATATTGAGCAGAGAACGACAGCGAAAACAGCTGGTGCTTCCGGGCTTTCAATAAAATTGGGAAAAACCACAGGGACACAGAGGCCAATGTTGACACAGAGGCGTTCAAGACATTTGAATAAATAAATATTAAATACTTGGAGGATCCGAGGGAATTGAACGGTAGCATCAGCACTCGATTCACGACATGTATTTCAGAGTCAGCGTATATAAAAATAAAAAATATGATAGAAGCAACTTGCGTATTCCAAATCGAAAAAGAGAGAATTCATAAAATAACTTTTGCCGGTCGTTCCCGACCTTTTGTTGAATTGAAAACAAATTATTATCTAAAGTCCTGAAATCAACAAGTTTTTTTCACAATATTACCAATAACATAAATACATCTTTGTTGATTTCAAAGCATCGAAAAAAAATAGGCAAAAAAGGAAATTGGCGCTTGTCGAGAATTCGCGAACAGAAAATCAAAAACTAGAAGTCCCTATCATAAATCCTACAACTAGTAAACAATGTCCAGGGGAATGATTTTATAATTCATAAGTTCGAGTGAACGACAGCCAAATATCCTGAAATTTTCAAAATTTCACTTTTCAATTCGTAACGTTGTTTGAACTCACGGAGTACAGCTCCCCCTTGTAATTAGCTTTTCAATATTCAACATAAACTGCTGACGACAACAACCGCGTAGATTGATTGTTACAATGCCTGACGGGGTTTACAATTTTTATTCATCTTCCACCCTATCCCTTTCCCCAATCTTTACTCAAGTATCGAACCAAATGATTTGTACCGAAACCATTAACATTCCACCGACAAACTTTATCCCACTCCATAATTCACTCCACGAATCCATTTGTTTCCCTCCATATAAAAACCATAAATTCCCGTAGGATGATTATTTTTAATTCAACAATCCGTCGAGTGGGCGAAAAATGCGGCAAAAAAAATTGATACCTAAAGTGCAAAATATTCCGGAAAAAAAACTGATACGTAAAGTGCAAAATATACATCTATCATCTCTGCTATACAGCCTCCATTTGCCCCATACTTTCAATACAGGAGTTTGCAGTCGCGATGGTAATTGAAGTACCAAGAGAGAACACGTGCATTCACCCTTGTACACCCCCTCGGGAGGTATCCATCGAAAAAGCCCGAAACTACCGATTGTTTCAGCCATCCTCTGCCATTTCACATATCTCCATACACACGTTATCATATCCCTCATTCTCTCTCTCTCTTTTGCATTAGCATATATCCCCATAGATGTTGGCCAACGCCCGATGATTTTAACGGATTATTTTCTAGCGTCAAAATTGAAATGACGGTCCATTTCAAATGGCGACAGATGGTATTTAGCTTCCGGTGCATTAACTGGTAAACGTGTCGGTGCGACTGGTACAAAACGCCAGTAGATATTCTAACAGTCTCTCATTTTCACTGGCGATTGGGGTGACTAACTGACATTGGGTTTTTGTACGCTTTCGACATTCTCCTGGATTTTACGTGTCACCCAACATGCCGCATGATAACAAATGTCACCTCTGTGACAATCGATTTTAATTACATGCACTGGGGCGGGTAGCCGCAAGGATTACAACAAATGTGTTATTGACTTCCCGACTCTCAGACTAAAAATGAAAAAATAAATATAAACCGCGTATTACTAAATCAAATTGACGCTCTCAAACTACAACACATTACGCGATTTGAAAAATGCAGGGAAAATTAATGGAACGAAAGTGGAAGAGTTAATTCCCACTCGGTTTATCGCGATTTCAGGGTATCTGCGAGTTCTTTAAATAATCTCAAGGCATGAGAATGAGAGGAAAATAGGGGGGTAGTTCCACACGATTTCCACTTGACGTCCTTAAGCAAAAAAAAAAAAATGTAAATGAGAGGGAAGCAGTTTTGGCGAAGAAAACAGGGCCTATCTGAAGCTGCGAATGATGGCTTTTGGCCAGACATCGACCCCGAATGAGATAAAATCTCTGCTTATGAAGCACCCGCAGGCTTATCTCGCTGGGCTAAAACCCGTACATCTTTCGGCGGAACAGAAGCTCGTATTATACCTCGAAATGCCCAGACTCCTTTATAATCCATTATAGTTTCTAAAACCGTTGACACCAACCAGAACAAAACAACATTTTTTATCTGACATTCACGAAAAAACATAATTAGGGAAAATGACGTTTGTTTTTATCATGGGTATTATTCAGAATAATAGGCAAAAAATATCATAGAAGTAACAAAGAGAAATGATATGAATTATGAGTTTACCACCACTGGTCTGTCCCCAGTGATAAATGCCCCTCGAAGTCGTCTAAAAAAATAGGATATACCGCCCATTCGCACGACTTCTCTTGCGCCTTATCTCCCTTCTGCCTTTACCCGGTCTGAAAAATAACCCGACAGTAAGAAGAAAATCTTTGGGATTTTATCACACCTAAATTTTCCACCACAACGACGTCCCGTCGACTTGACATAAAATTTTTCTGACAACGTCTATTTGCCACGTTGAAGGGATAATACGGCATTTCCCACTGTCCTCTCGTGTTGGATCAAACGTTGATAATATTGAATGATAACGAAAAAAAAAGAATATATTCAACAGCCCGGAAACTAATTGGAATCCTCTGAAAAGCGAAGTTGATGAGAGTTCCATTGGGTATACGACACACTTTGATTGACGCCTATCAGGGATGATAGACGAGGCAATTTCCACGGAAACGAATTTCCACTTTCCGCGAGAGGAGTCCGGATTTTTTTTTCAATTTCATTTCATTCTGTAACGCAATCAAACCGGAGAAAGGAATTTTTTAGGGAGGCACTTTGTCAATGGTTTCAAATTGAATATTGTCAATGAGTGAAATGAGAAGAAAAAATTTTCTGATTTATTTTTCAATGGGACGTACATGAAAAATATTGATAGAAAACGTAACGATTTATCTGGAGAATTCCGTTAAATTTATATTGAAACTCTTGATCTCTATTTCTATTGACACTCGTCTTAGATTCTAAATGTAAATTTAAGTACAGATGTTACAATAGTCTCCACGAATTTAATAGCCTGGATGACGATGAGTGCGTGTAGAATCAGGATGAGAATTTCGATTTTATACATGTACTGGAGTCTCTCCATCAGGGCAACGTAAATTCTACGAGAGGCTCTGCTGCTGAATTCACTCAGTCTCACAATCGTATGATGGAGTTTCAGATGTTCGCTGCATTCATCTTCTGTGGAAAAAATGCATAATTTATTTGAGAAAAATACCATTTCTCACTAAAGTCTTGCTATTTGACTTCAGAGTGAATGAACTGCGCCAATTAGAACTAGACTTTGATATAATCTTCTATAAAGTCGAGGATCAAGAAAGAATCTGTCTCACCAGAGTCACTGCAAGATTCATCCTCAAGTGCTGGCAAATATTTATCGAGCATCAGTTCAGCTAGGCCAGTGGTATTGTCAACAGTCTTTAAAATATTAATTCCCGTCTCCGTTGACATAACTTTGTCAGCCTGTTGCCAACTATAAACTCTCAAGTAGTGTGCTTTGTAGTAGGTATGGAGGGTTATTATTCTCACTCTTTGCTTTGTCTCCTGCTTCAAGTCAATGAATATTTGTACAGCCGGACGGAGTCTCTCAGACACGAGTAACTTGGTACGATCCAAAATCTACGGACAAGTTTCATGTAAACACTGGAAATATCCGTACATTATCAAAGTTACCGAGTAATTTATTCACTGACTTGTTTGGGATCTTCCTTGATGATCGGCAATTTAACTTCGACAAAGTCCAGACCTTGGCAGAATGTTTTGTCGAGATTGTAAATTGGTTTCTCCATCAGGCGGGCAACTGGCAATGATTTCTCCAGTACTGCCTGGAGAGCCGTCTCAATTCTATCAAAGGCCCAATTCGTGAATGTACTCGCACCCTTGACTTTTCCATAAACAGCTGCCGATTTGTCCCAGAGATAATTAACACTGGGAATTCTCAGGGCTCTGTCGATTGCCTGAATTCTGTAGAACTGCTCTGACAGTTCCGCGTCCATTTTTTATAATTGTCTTTTAGTTGATACCTGGATTTTAAATGGTCAGTCTTCAGGCTGAATGCAGTTTCGACCTAGAAGGTGATTATTTGCAATCGCTTTCTCAATTTTCATCGTTATCTCAAAATTGCGGGATGAATAACGAATTATTCGTCCTGTCTAATACTTATTAATCGTTAACAGTGGAAATTGATTTATTGCAACTGCATTTGCATTAAATTTATCAACCAACCCCCGAAAAATATTAATCACCGGTGCCCGGGATTTCAATAATTTTCAAAGTATTTGAAAAACGTAATGCGCCCCGCGTTTTTTCAGTCGAGAAAAACCAGACAACGAATTTAATTTTAGCGCAAAAACTCGAGCGGAAAATCCAGAGCTCCTCCTCTAAAAATGAATTAAAATTGTGCCCGGGATATTCATGCAAAACGAAATTTTTCCCCTTTTATTTATCACCGGATAAAAAAATGAAAACAAAGCGCAACGGAATAATTGCTGATTGCTGCACGTCGATATCAACTAATTGTTAAAAATACAATTGCACGAATACAATCGTCAATAATTCTCGACTGACAACTGTCACTCAACCGTCAAAACAATTGTACAAGAAAACAAAGAGGTAGGTCAACTCACCCGTGAACGTTCACTCCAATAATTTCCATTAACTGTATTCCTTCGGAAATATTAATCGACACGGCCTTTTGCTATCGACTGATGTACCTTGATCTCTGACTCATTACAATATAAATCTTGTTTACGCGGACTTGAGATCGGTGACCGTTTGTAATTTATTGTTCCGCTTATCCACCTTTTTTTCATTCAGTCAACGGCAGACATATTTTTCTCCTGTCAATTCAGGCCGTTTTACGTCATGACAATCGGTAAATTCAGTCCTGATTTAATCTGGCAGATGTCGTTAGATTTTGCAGCTTTTCACTTGTTCGACAGCTGGAAAAGTCGGCATTCCAAACCTGGAGATGAAAACAGTTTAATATTTCAAAAACTGCAAATCAAATATTTCAATTTTGAATTAGCCTTGCATTTTCCTGTCAAATTTTCCTTTTTTTATACTCACATCAGCCCTGATTGCATTAATGGCATTAATTCCCTTATTGGCATTAATTACATTAATTATTGCAGATTTTTTTGGCTTCTGTGCGGGATTTAAATTTAAAAATATTTTTGTTCGTATTGTTCTAAAAATATTATTTTCAAAGTACTGAGTTCATCTGGTAGATGTCTCTAGTTGTACTAAAATTCACCGATTGAATTCGGCCATCGCTACATTATTTTTTCTCGTACTCGATTACGAGTGCAGAGAGAAGAAATAGAAAAATTCGAATCTGGCTTGTGATATTCGAGAAGACAGGTGGCACATTTTACTGTTGATCCAGGTAAGTTCGGATTTATCAAATAATTTAAACATTACGCTTTTTCTCCAAGTATCAGTTTAATTATTACCCTGACACTTGAGGCATTGAGGTTAATCCAAAGCCCCAGAGCCCTGGATGAATTTTTTAATTGCTTCATTTGTTCAGAATCAATATTTAAGAAAAATCGTAATGTCCTGGTCTTTCGTATTCAAAAAATACAAGATACACAAAAAAGAAAATGCTAAACTTCAAAAAATCCACAGGAGTAAAGAGTTCCTCGATCAAAAATGTCGACCCCAAGAGGAGATGGAGTAAAGGCGAATCACTCCGACACAGGCGGAGTGAAAGGCTTCCCCATCGAAGGGCGAATGTTATCAGAGCGAGAGCGTATCCTAGGAATGAGCCCCGAAGAACGTGCTTGGCGTGCCCAGTGGTTGAAAGATCAGGTTCTAGCCCCAGATGAACCTGTTTACAATCCCGAATACTACAAGCAAAGATACAACATCCTGAGAAGATTCTATCGCGCCCCATTGAATGTCTTGGAGAACGCCCTCCGTCCAACACTGGGCGCTGAATTTTCCTACGTGATTCGTCACATGATCAGTTCTGCTGCATTCACGATGATCGGCATTTGGGGCGCAATCTATTACTTCAAGTACAATCAAAGTGACTGGACCAGGAAGAGTGGTTTCAAAGTCGGAATATCGAGGAAAAAGCTGTTCCCCAATGATCCAGAGTGGCCCAATTATGAAACCAAAAAGGACAATGAGTACGCGTCCTATGGTTTCACCAATTCACCGATATAATTGTATTTATTTTAAAGGAGAATTCATCTGAAATGAGAGGATGCTCCCTTGGTACTTTGTGAATACTAGTTTATTTAGGATTATTCTGAATAAAAAGAAATGTTGGAATTATCCTTCGATCCGGGTTTTCCAATTTATTCTAATGCACCTGAATTTTTTAAATTGAGTATATCTCAATTTATTTGTGACATCAGTCAAACTTTTACGGAAGTTCTGACGAAATCGGCTGTTGGGGGAAAAAGTGGGAAAATATAGTAATCGAAGTCCAACAGAATTAATATCACTCTATACAAAATAATGCAAATCTGATTGGTACAGAAAAATAATTTTAATGCACATGTGCGGAAGATTTACATAAAATACAAACATAGATATCGAAAAATTGATTATCAATTAACCATTGTCAATTTTATGAACATTTTGTCAGTACAGTGTTTATCAGAGTGATAAAATTTATCTTAATATTGACGATCAGCTAAAACTAAGCTGATCGGGTCAGGCCCGCTGATTCAGTAATCATTCATTTTTTCTGCGGGTCTTTCTTCTCTTCGGTAGATGATGTGGGTGATTCAGGAGTACATTCTCCCTTTCCTCCATTCAGGAAATTCGTCAAATGCAGGATGGAAACGACACTCTGCATGTAGGCAGCAACATCCTCTCTCTTTACCGTTCTCAGTTGCGCAGTGACCGAATGATACACGCGATTCGCAGTTTTGCTCGATAATTGACCGATTGTTTGCACAGTGTGCAGTACTTTATTTTCATCAGCTGACACGGGTGCTGTAATGAACGTGAATTACAATATAAATTCTTCTCTACATTCCGCAGTTGCATTTTTCAGAAATTAGTGCAATTATCGTTGCTCATAGCTTAACGATCTGCTTCCTAATGAAATCTTTTCATGAATTCTTCCAAATGATTGTATTCAGATCATTTATTAGGTGGTGATATTAATTTTCAACATAATTACCTGGTGTAGCTTCTTCTGCGGCAACCGGTGGAAAATAGTGATCTAAAAGTCTGTTGACAAGTGCGCTTGTGTTATCAACACTTTGAACTGCAAGTGCGCCGTAGTGAGTGTTAAGAATTTCATTGGCTTTGTTGATACTGATTTCTTTAACAGTGGATGCTTGGTGAGTCGCTGATTCTTTAACGGCCGTGATTTTTTCAATTGTAGGCTGGAGAGAAGTGCTCATTACGTTCCTTGCCGCATCGTAAATCTGTAATCAGTCCTTTTTATGAGTTTAGCACGGAGGGTTCGGTCGGAATTTCCTCCGACTTTATTTGATACTGGAGTTGAATCAGTGAAGAACTTCTACTGATTTCAGTAGAGATAAGGAGTAATTGAATGATTTATCTATGCCGGTTGTTGAGGAATTACTCACTTCTTTGGGTGGTTGTTTGACCATCGGCACTTTTTGCTCGACGATGTCCAGTCCCTGGCACAATTTTTGATCAACGCTGTTAATTTGCCCTTCAAATTTCTTAGCAATTGGTGCTGCTATTGGCGCTGCAGTGGCAGCAGCATAGTTTATACCCGCTTCAGCTTGATTCAATGCCCAATTCACGAGATGATGAGAGCCCTTGACGTACGAATACGTCGAACCAGTTTTTTCAATTGCTGTACTGACCACTGGAATGTTCTTCACTCGATTCAATACTTCCAATTGGGGACCATCTTTCGTTGGACTCGGTATTTGCTCTGCCATTTTTCGATTCGTGTAAAAATAGTCCCTCCGTTCTTGAAATATTGAAATAAGTCAATTTATGGATTGCCGTTGGACTTTGAACGCAGCGTGAAAGCCAGCTCATGACAACTTTTTATCTAATCGAAATTATTTGTCAACTGCCGGATTCAATTCGAAATTCATCAGAATTAATCCATCAAATGTTTCTTTCGTCGATGTGCCAAAAAATTTGAAACTTCACCGTCTTAATGACGTAAAAAATTGGTTGTCATTTTTTTCAATTGCAAATGTTCAATTTTTGAAAATATTCGATTTTACGAGTTGGTAGCGGAAATAATTGGATATTTAGGTATTAATTCAAATAATTATTATAAATACGTACTTTGATGAATTGACAGTCGTTTTTTTGTAAAACCGCCGAGATGATGTGTATAATCCACGACTCGTGAGAACTTACTGAGTCTTATGGCCGGTGTATTACGTGGTAATACAGATATATAAGAAGAGGGGATTGCGCTCAGGCCCGTATGACATGAAGAAATGCTGTCGATCAATCCGAGATAATCATTAAAATCGAGACATGTGGTTCTATGCATTCAGGAAAATGCCTACAGTACAATGCGCCGTAGATTTCCGAGGGAATTTCGGAATAGAGAAGTTTTATTTCAATTGCGAATGATTTTGAGAAATTATGATAGGTCGAAATTTTTAGAATGAAGTGACGCAGTTGGAATATGCGCAGACACGTATCTGCGATGTGACGTGGGGGTCAGCGATTCTCGAACTTTCGTCATTTCGATCCTGGTTTTACGATTTTCTGAGAGACACGTCTGGTCTCGTGGACTTCCAGTATTAATCATCGTTTTGGGATCGCGATGACGGTGTAATTTCAACGCGAATGATGAAACAATGATGAAGAATTGATCATAATTAGATAAATTTCGATGATTCATAAGAACCGGCAGTTTTCTGGTGGAACTCTATAGAAATTTCCGCGTTTTTTATTAACGCAATAAAAATGTTGATCCCGATTTTTTTTTCTATCATAAATATTTTGTAATGAAGAGAAAATTCTCTCAGGAAGTTCCGAGAAGAATCTCAATAACATACTTTCAATGATAATGATGACATAACAAAGTTAAATCAGAAGATCGGCAGTGGGAAAAATAAAAATAGCGTACACAAGATTATAATATCAATATATCTTTATTATAAACTTATAATCTCAGAAAAAATAATACTAAATACCTAAACAAGCAGAAAAATGCGTTACAGTAGAAATTTTATAAAACGTTACAAAAAATTTAACAACGCTTTCCGAAAAAGAGTGATAAATCTTTTTCCTTCAATTTACAATTGTAATCAATATAAACTCCACGCAGACAGCACTGTATAAAAGTATTGAACTCTGATACCTTTGATCACATGAATTTTTCATATCAAAAACAAATAGCGAAGTAATAAAACGACATTGATTGAGACAAGGCACATAGCGAGACGTTTACTGAAATCTTATTATTATACAAATCATTCTACAACACAGTTCTTCACCGAAATCCCGCAATTTCCTTCAAATATTCCGCCAATACACAAGAGCCAAATTTAATGAACGTTTTATTTCTTCGTTATTCAAATTATTTTTTATTATGAATTAAGAGAGAAGTCTCTACTCTCGTTTGACGTGACCATTGGATTCTGGAGATTTTTTCTGGGACGACTCCTTCGTCGGAGAAGTGAATTTATGTACTTTATCGTTAACAGCGTGAATGTACTGTGCGATCTGTAGAAATTCAACAACATTGTTGACATACGTTCTGACTTTGTCTTTGTTGATTGTGCGAAGATTGTACACAACGTTCCCATACACTCGACGAGCTGCTTTGTTCGATAGTCTTCCCACTGTCTGGAGGGTGTGGAGAAGGGCATCCTCTTCAGACGATGCTGGCTCTACAATTAGCGAAGTTCAATTAGAATCAATTCTTACTCAATTAATTTTTTCTGGTGTTACATTTTCTCTTCTACTCGTCCCTTTTCCTCTGGTTGTTAGGTACAAGGTGTAATTATTTTGTTTAGACTTGTTCAGGGGCGATAATTGGGATCGGGTTATTTACCTTCAACAATCTCCGCTCCAGTCGCTGGAAAATATCTGTCGATCAGTTTATCTACCACCGACGCAGTGCTATCCAATCCATGGACTGCGACTGTTCCATAATGACTGCCTAAAATTTGATTTGCCTTATTCCAGCTCAGTACTTTCAGGGAATTCGCCTGAGCGATTATCAGGGCGTTTGCATACGAAATCCTCGACATCGCGGGCTGTACAGTTTGCAGGGCGAACATATAGCCCTTTTCTAAAATCTGGAATAGACAACAAAATTATGGATTCAACGGCGAAATTCTTAAATTAAACTTAACGACACTTTTCAAAATCTTATAATTCACGGGTCGGAAAATCAATTCATATTTGTTTAGGAATTGTTTATAAGTAATGGCAGCAAGATTTTTAAATTATTTTCGGATCTTCAACGGTTAAATAACCAAGTCATTGCAAAATGCTCGATAACCCAGGGTCGAACGGAGTTAACTGGAAGCTCGTGTTTAAATGCGAATGCTGAAAAAGCATTTTGAAAAAAAAAAACATTTATAATACTGGGATATCCTCATTTACAGTGAACTTTGTAATTGGAATATCATCTTAACGAGCAGGAAATCAAAGTGATGAAAATTATGGGATGATTATTACGCGGACTCTTCTCAAATCGTTTCATAATTTTACGATCTGTATTTACTATGAATATCTATCTTCTTCTCTTTTAAAGACATCTTCTCACGTGAGAAAATTAATCTCGATCTGAGATAATTCATAATTTATTACGTTTAATTTATAATAAATTGAGAAAACCGGGGATTTCAAAACTTCAAAACTCAAAAAGGAGAAAATAATTTGAGAATCGAAGTGGGTCCTGCGGACTTACGTTTTCCGGTGTCTCATTGACAATCGGCACCTTTTCCTGAATTTTCTCCAGACCCCTGCACAATTTGTCATCGACAAAATGAATAGGTGTCTCAAACTTCATGGCAATTGGTGCTGCAAAAGGCACTGCCCGTCTCGTTGCATCGGTTATTGAATTCTCAGCTGTTGATAGTACCCAATGGAGAAGTTGATTTGAGTCTTTGACTCGTGAATAAGTCGATGCTGATACAGCTAATGCCTGCTCCACAACTGGTAACCCGAGAACACGATTGAACACCTCAATCTGAGGAAATGATACCTGAGCTGCTGTCATTTTTTATTACCTAAAAATAGGAATGAGAGAGAAATTACTAGCCACCGCTCACTCCGGAGAAACCGAGAGTCTAAACAATTAGTAACAGCCGAGGTGAATGATCGCGAATAAAATTTTCACTTTACATGAGCTGAGAAATTTCCCCAAGACTTTCACGTTCTCCCTATCATTTCACAGAATTCCACATACTCTCGGATAATTCTTGTTTATTTACATTACTATTTGATTGGCTTGAGAATTGATTTTCGACTTAAAATCAAAGACGACCTTCCCTTGATTTCAATACTACAAATTTCATTGAAAATATAAAGCGCTTCGTAACGAAATTCTAAATAATTCTACATTTTCAAAGATTGAAGTGGAAAACCCGGTAATTCTTCCTGCAGTCATTAATCAATAATTTAATTGTCAGACATGATTTGTCAATTTATGCCACTGTATTCCCGCGTGCTACACGATAATCCCTATAATTTATTATGTATTCCGCGATAACACGAGTATAAAACAACTGACTTGAATTAAAAATGTGCAATCGGAGCAATTGATTAATCAAACTAGCGACGAATGAATATTAAATGAAGAGAACTTACGTTTGGGTGAATCGAGGGGAGAAGTGTCTCGATTCAATTGAATTAATCACAAATTTCTTTCGAAGAAATTTGAAATCCAGAGAAGACGGATGAGACGAGTGCACGAGTTGTCGGTGCTATCGCGAATGGAAACTAATATGCCGTTCTGAGCCGGCGATTTAATTTTATTTTGCGAGTAGGAGGGAGAGGGATTGAGCGCCGACGTGAGGGGTTTGTACTTGCCAATGGAAACGACGGTAAAATCACTTGCTGGGACAGTACTGAAAGTGTCGCCGTCGGTCTGATCCAAAGTCCAACTTCAAATGTGAATTGTCGAGCGTCTCATGCAGATAATTTCGCGGCTCAATATTCTGTTATGAATTTCTGCCGCAAGAATCCTTGCGGGTGGAAAAATGGGAAAAGGAAATGAAGGCATTTATCCCTTCGGAAATATTTCCGAAACTGAAGGAGACAGCGAAATTTTTGTAATAACCTTTTTTGTAGCTCATAATTATCTCCCCGAAAAAAGTTCTAACGAAAAATTCATTATCGTTTTTAGTTTAGAGGATTTTTAATAAATTTGAATAGAAAGAAATAATACTATAAACAAAAATGATTGGTAGCATCTCTGTACCGCTTTTTTGAATAATCTCATAATTGGATTGAACCTAGTCACGTAGCCAGTCAATACCAATGACGTATTCTTTTTATTGTGGAAGTTAGAACTTGGAGATATGTAACACCACATGAAGGAGTGGTTTGTGGCTTCAGTGTCTGGAAAAATCCCATCCTTTCTGACATGAGTCACGCGACAGAAAGTCTTATCGGCCAGGGTCCAACTAAATGCACCCATCTTACTTTGCACGACTGACATTGGTAATTCCTTCTATGTCTCTCCTTTTTTCGTTCTATTTCCATTTGCAATAATTTTCCGCTTATCTGCATTTCGATAATTACATTAATCCTCGGCGGCTGTATTTTGTCTAGACTAACAACTCGTATGTCTCGAAGTCGTTAGATTTTTCTCGGTCCTCTTATCCTCATTCTTATTCCATATAATCGATTTGTTAATGTCGTTTATCATTCCATTAATGGGTAATAGAGTCAATGAGGAGTGATTTTAGGGGGAAATGTCAAGATTTTTCTAAGATAGAACTCACGGCTCAAAAATTATTTATTTGATATCCACAATCATAAAATTTTGACAAAATTTCTTTCTCTTTTGAATTAAAAAAAAAATGTATGTAGAGAAAACGTGTCGTGATAATTATTTCTTACTTTATTTTTTAACAATGCACTATTTGTTTTTTCAATGACAAGATTTCTTGGCACAAGTGTAGAAATTTTTATCTGCGTATAAAAGTTGTTATTAGTCACTTTTTATCACGATTAATTAAAATAATATGTTCGACATTCATTTGGGATTTAGAAATTTATTAATGAGAAATTTTCGACGTCTAGTCGATTCCATTCGATGAACGATTGGTCACGTGCGTCAGATGATTATTGTGATTGTCGTGAACCTGATTGGTCGCCATTTTCTTGGGATTGGGGCGACCCGCGAGAAATATCGCAGTGCGTTCCTAGAAAATATCCAAAATTAATTTCTAATAATCTCACTAAAAATACGGCTTTCATCCCATACCAGCAGTAAATGTGTTGTTACTCTAATATGATCGATGGCCGATCGCAGAATCGATATCTGGGCGTCAGTTTTTTCACTCTTTCCGATTACCGGAGTCATCTGCGACATAATAAACGAAATCAAACTTCTATTTCTGGAAATAATTCCTTCAAATTTCAGTTCATCTCTCCCCATTTCGATAAAATTTGCTGCAACTCAAACAGTAATTACTTTTTTCGAATTGGATGAATCATAACTGAATTTATTGATCGGTATAGTTGGTAATAATAGTTGGTAATCGCAAATGTCCACGGAATAGAGGAGTTTTACCTTCAGCGTGACTTCAGCTATCGACAATAATTGATGTGAAACTGTCATGAGAGTAACTCCAATGCGTCCTGGTGCTTTGGCAGCAAGATTCATTGTGCCATTAACCAGGTGAACGATCCTGCGAGCAGATTCTCTGGTCAAAAGAACCAACAATTGCTCGAGTGTCGCAGGACGTGCCTGATTTTCAGGCTCTGGAAGACTGAGGGCAGCCCAAAGCTCCTTCGACTTCTGCAGGGCCATCTTCGGATCCGTTGCAATCTGTCAAATTTTCACGCGTCAATTAATCCTCAGTAAAAAGTTCGAATTAGATTCCCACAAAAAGAAATAGGATTCTAATAAAATTAATTAAGTCGTAATTAAATACTACTTTCTGCAGAAACTACACGCGCGAATGAATCTCTCTCAATGAAATAAAACGACTAACTGATCAAAATCAGACTGACTAGATAGTGAATGCTATAATTAGGGGGAAAACAACAGACCAACTCGATGACATAAAGTAACACGTGAATACACTCTGTGCTCTGGTCTTTCAGTGCTCGTGCCTCTGCCAATGTGCGACGTGTTAATCTCCTCTGTAATTTTCGCGAAAATCTCGCACCGTGAATTATAGTGCGCGTTGTTTTACTCGTTGCTCCTACTGGATTTGCATCTGTGCCAGAAATTGTATTTTATAATTGACGTCAATGTTAATCAGTATTGATCTTTTTGTTTCAGGTATATACTGCTCTTCAGGGGTGTTACCTTCTTGAGACTTGTCTGTTGGATCCTCTGGTAAATACTGATCCACATATTTATCAGCAACTGTCAATGCACCATCTAGTCGATCAGCTGCTGCATCCGCTGCTTGACTGCCGATTTGCTTGACGCTCCCGGCACGTTTCAATACCGGTCTCACGAATTTGTTATTCACATATTCTCGCGTGTTCCAGTACAACTACAAGAAGATTGAAGAAAAACTGTTCTGAGAAATGATTTTCTTACTCGAGTCAAGGTTCGTTCAATCAAAAAATATTTAACATTCGAAATCTGCCTACGATCGAAAAAACAAGTAATTGCAATTTGGGGGAATGTTTGTAATATTTATCGATGGTATTATTCTTTCCGATTACTTTCAAGGGCATTATGAAATATGGTACATGGAATCCAATATAATCAAATGGTTGGGTTTTTCAATTACAGTTTTTCACGCGCTGACTTACGAGTTGCGGAGGAAAATGAACAGCTGGTACTCTTTGCTCCACAATATCCATTCCCCTGCACAGCAAGTGATCCAAAGTTGTAATTGGACCATTGAGAACTAACATCGCGGGTTTGGCAGATGCTGTTGCAATCGCCAGTGATTGTTCGGCGGTGTCGAGACTCCAATTCATCAAGGAATTGGATCGCTGCATCATAAGCATCAGAGAAAGGTCAGACCAAACGAATTCAATAATTTAATCTACAAAATTTACCGAATAGACTTCAATCGATACAATATCCGCTATTGAACATTTTAAACAAGTATTAATATAGAAGGATCAATGGAAATCCAAAAGAATTGGTTAGCTAATTCACAAGGTTTTCGTATTGACTTGCGACGCAATTTATGATTGCAACCACCGATGACTGAATTACCTTAATCTTCTCGTAAACATTTCCTGCTATTGTAATGCCACTTTCAATCAGCGGTAGACTTGAAATTCGGGCAACAGATTCAAACAGCGGTAGATCAGAGTGACGTCTGACAAGAGGCGGTGGTCGTGTCATTTCTGGCACGGAAACCGCTGGAAATAGCGAAATAAAAATTGACCGGAATTTATTTATTATGTGGTAATAGAGTCGAGGAGATAACAAAGGTCAGGAGTTTTCAATCCCTGGCCGATAGTTGATGTTAAGGTTTTCGTATTTCATCCTACACTGAGTGCTCTCTCCCGTCTCCGATAAATTATTATCGGTGGATCATTTGTTTATGTTGAATAGATTATGTCAATCATCGATAATTCGAGATCGACATCTCGAAATAAAGATGATGTGGGCTTTGCGCTATTTATTTCAATCTCATCATTGAATAAAATTGAAAAATGCTATTTATTTCTATAATTTAAATGGCGAATTTTTCAATTGAAATTGTGTGCATCGTATCCATTGAAGAATTACTTGACTTCGAGGAATAAAAAGTGATTAACGAGCGTGACTTGATAACAATTAACAAGGGGACAAAAATAAAATTGAAAGCATTGTAGTAAACAATAAACTGAGAGGACTGATTGAATTTAAAAATACATGTGACAAGTGGGGTTCAACCCCCTGGTGATATAATTTCAAACAAAAGAAACTAGAATTGCGAAACTTGTACGAAAATATAGACGACTTCGCGGCGGAACGGTTGTGGGAATAGATCGTGAAATAAGAGACACACGGACGTTTATGTCGAAAAATCTGAAAAATGAAGGAAGTGATGTACAAAAACATTTCGAAGTTGACTTATCAGCTTCTTAATTACTTCATTATCTTGTTTCAACACTTCCTTCACGTATTCCTTTCATTCATAATGTCTATCTAAAGTTATCGCGGATAATTAATTTACCACGTTCCCTCATCCTCACAATTATCACAACACTAAAATGATTGACAAATCAAAAACATTTTTTATTAGGAAATTATTAACCGTTCCTCCAGATAGACAAACAGTCTTAATTTATTTAAGCCAATGCTGTCTCGAAATTCTATTGCAATTCTATAAAATTAATGCAGAATAGAATCGAGAGCAAATTGAACAATATTTTTAAAGAAAACGTTGAGTTTTTGAATTATCTACTGAGAATTACGTTTTTCGGGAAAAATCCAGACGTATAATTCGTGAAATCTCTTTCGATTTTGAACATTGAAATGATCTACCTGATTGCCTCCGTGAATTATACCTTTATTGAAATTTAATTATGTCACTGAAATACCACTGAAACGTCACGTTGTACGTCGCGTTGAAGAACACGACGTCGACTGCAAGTTACAGACCGAGTGCTGTATCTCATCGAGTTCGACCTATGGCCCCATTGATTAATACGTCCAATACTCTTTCGTCGTTATTTTTTATTGATTTTTTCTCAATCATCAAATTTTTTATCATTTTTCCGTCGATTTGAGTGGACGAAGCTGTTGATTAGTCTTTTTGTGCAATTCGAGGGAACGATCGGAGGGCGGAAAAACTAAAATTATAAAACCCCCCACAATTAAATCCTTTCTAACGAACACTGATAAACGAATAATCGAAATTGGTGATGTACAAGACACAATTCGAAGTGGTCATTGTTTTAAAAAAGCAAATACCCTTTCGTTTTCCGTGGCACGGGCAAGAAGATAAAATAATGAGTACAGATGCAAAAAATGGATGTCTGGAACCGATTAGTTTTTGTACTCGTCTAGCGATTCGTGATAATAACGATTTATTATTGCACTTTGTGACAGAAAATGTCTCGAGATAGCTGAGTCGTTGGGATTATTCCTCGACAATGCTCCTGATCAAATGGTCTTTCATCCGAATTTTTCTGTTTCTTGAAATTATTTTTTCCAACTACTGAAATCAATCCCGTCATTCCTCATTTCAACTTGCAAATTAAAAATTCAGCGTTCTTCCGGAAGAAGATAAATTCTCTTATTGATAATGGGAATTAGGACTGAAATTTTTTATAAATAATGGGAGACCTAGAATTTATATCGGTACGTCCACTTTAGATAAGATTGCGGATTAAAATCATTATCGTCCGTCTGTTGTCGATTTTTACCGATCACTTATCGCCGCTCAGTATCGATCAGGAAGCTAGCTATCCAACAATTGTTGATGAAAAGGTGTGAGCATCACTAATTTCGGAAAGATTTCAAACATTTATTTATTTAAAAGTGAATAGACATCGAATAGAGCTTCTAGGGTAATTATAATGAAAATTGTACCCAAATCTGGATTGATCATCTACTGTTTGTTCTTCGCATCAATCGCAATATCGAAAGCGCGTGAGTCATAACTGCTTATCAATATATCCGACAGATGTTCTGTTGATTCTCGTTGATGGAGTTTAAATAGACTACATCAAATATCGAAAAGTGAATAGAGAGTTCGATAGAGTTGGATTTCTATTATTTAATCTTCTCGTTTTAGAATGGGCGTCTCCGCCTTTTGAGAAACCCAATCCAATCGACCCTTCGGTAGATTTTGTGAGTTCCGCAGACACAATAACCAACATTTTCCTTGATGAAGAAGTTGATCATCCAGTTTGTATAGCACAAGTCAATTATAATGGTGAGTGCAAAGTGTAAAGCTAACCGAGCGATTTCCTGTAAATGATTGCTTCCGTTTTGCATCAAACTCGACAGGTGCGGCAATGCCTCAACTTGGGACATTTTCTGTCGGCCAAAGTGTCAATCTCGGTGCGGAATTCAGAAGAAACGAAGTCACCAGTAAATGGGAATTGTACATCCTGAAGAAACAGGATTACGAAACTTCGGCAATGCAAGCCTACCAATTCGATGTTGCCATCGGAAATTTGCGTAGAGATGTTGCTTTGAATATTAAAAATATCGATGATAATCCTCCGGTGATCCAAGCAGTGGAACGTACATGTGCGATTGAAGAAAACTACTCGGGAAGATCTAACTGCTCATTCCGTATCACCGATGTTGATGGTTGGATAGATCAAATCACGATCACCTTCACATCAATTCCGGAATCAGGCTCACAGAACTTTGAGTTCGTTCGTGAACCGATTCCCGGGAATGACTACGCGATGAACGGTTATTTGAACGTGACAAATTCTCTGGATTATGAAAAATTTACGACGTATACACTACAATTTGAGGCTAAAGATGGTGCGAATAACGAAGGGAATTTATTGAATGCAGTTCAGGTAATCGACATGCCTGATGAACCTCCCGTGTGGAGCAGTCTTGCTGCCTCGCAATCCATAATAGAAAAAAGCCTTCACACGTTCTCAGTCTTGGCGTTCGATGGAGATATTCAGATAAATGCAGAGATCAATTATAGAATAGAACCTGAAAATTCGAAGGAAAGAGATTTATTCTCTGTTGAAACGAACACAGGAAATATCACGATCAATTCCATTGATCGGGATACCTTGAAGAAGGAAGTCTTCAGGTTTTCTGTGATTGCTTATGAGAAGGAGAATCTCACGTCGAAGATTGAAGCTACAATAGTAGTAATTGTGGAGGATTTGAACGATCACAGCCCCGAGATAGCCCCTGAAAAATTGAAGATAGAAATCGAAGAAGAAAAATACGTGACCTTGAACTTTTCCAAATCCATTGTCATTACGGATCCAGATCTCGCTGAAAATGGTCAATACTCAGTCAGGCTGATTGATAAGTCAATGCACCACTGGAGCTCTGCCTTCATGATCGTGCCAAACAGCGGATACCAATCAGGAACCTTCACTATTTCAGTCGTGAACGCCACCTTGCTCGATTATGAAGACGAAAATTGGAGAAACATGGAGATTGAAATCGAAGCGACAGAAGTCGCTAACAAATCGCACATTGGCAGGCGAATCGTCACCATCAACTTAATCGACTTGAACGACGAGTACCCGATTTTTGAAAATAGTGCTGTCGAAGTTCATGTCCCGGAGGACGCACCGAGGGGACATCTGATAGCCATCATGTTGGCGACAGACAGGGATGCAGGGGATAGGGTCATCCATCAGTTGAGCTCACAGACAGGTTTGTCCATTAATGAAACTACTGGAGCAATCTCAACAGCGCTCGAGAATGCCCTGGATTACGAGACGATGTCGATCGTTATTGTCCAAGTGGTGGCTTCAGATCTTGCGGATCATAAAGCGTATGCGACGTTGACGATCAACGTAACTGATGTCAATGATGTACCTCCGAAGCTCATACTGCCGACAGATGTCCCTTCGTTAATTGAAGAAGTACCTGCGGGTACAGCCATTGGAGTCATCATCAAAGCGAGTGATGTGGACACCGATGCAGATCTCATGTTTAATATCGACTGGGACAAAACGACAGCTCAAAAAAGTGGAGTTCCGGTTAATGAAACTCGTTATCGAGGTTGCTTAATGATAAATGCAACGTATCCCGAAGGACATCATCGTTTGGTAGAAGGTGAAATCATTGTTGCAGGTAGAATTGATTACGAAAAGTTCGATGTTATCCATTTGAGTATTAAAGCGACAGATACTAAGACCGTTCATAACGAGAATTCAACTTCAGCTTCATTGACTCTGAAGATTACAGATATCAATGACAACTCACCGGTTTTCAATGAAGTTAAAGCTCTTCGAGTCACTGAGAACGCTATCACGGATATTTTGATCGGCTCTGTGACAGCTACAGATGCGGACGGACCTGAGTTCAATCAGATTTCTTATTCGATCAAAGCCATCAACAATACCGAGGATCATCTCGTCAGTATCGATTCAAAAACCGGTGAAATCAAAGTGGAATCTAATGAGACAATTGATGCAGAGAAATCTGAATATATCTATTATGAAGTCATTGCATCGGATGGCGAAAATAATACGACCCTCCCGCTTTCAATATACGTCATCGATGTGAACGACGAAGTTCCTTATCTCCTCGGAGATAAATTCAATTCTACAATTCACATCTTAGAAAAATCTGTGAGTGGAACAGAAGTTGTTACTGTTTACGGAAAAGATAATGATCGGACTAGTCCTTACAACAACGTCTCGTACCTGATTAACGAGAATTATCCCGCGCTGTTTCAATATTTCGAGCTAAGCAAGTTCGACGGAATTCTTCGAGTTCATTTGACTGACGGCTATATTTTGGATCGCGACAGAGGACCGGCTCGTTACACCGTGAACCTGAAATTGAGGGACAATTATCTTCAGACTGACGTCACCTGGAATACGAACGCGATTGACACAGAAATCATAGTGATTCTGGACGATATAAATGACCAAATCCCGGAATTGCCGGATTTGGGAAATCCAGCGAAGGAGGTCAATGAGAATGAGAAGAAGAACTCGAGAATTCTGAGGATTGAAGCAATCGATAGAGACGATGCTGCAACCGAAAACACCAAAGTGTCTTATAAACTTTTGAGCAGTTCCCTGGTGGACGGAAGCAGTGAAATTGAAAAGAACTGTGAGAATATATTCAGTTTGGGGGCGGAAGAATCGAAGGGAGCAATTATCTCAGCTGCCCGTGACCTGAAGGGCTGCTACGGTACGTGGGCTGTTAAAATATATGCCCAAGACCACGGAACGTTCCCAGGACCCTTGAATGACACGAGAATCTACAACATCACGGTTACTGATTATAACTACAATTACCCAATGATTAAATTCCCGGCCTCGGGTAAAAGTATCGCCCTGAGTATGGATCAGACGATTCACTCGAAGCTGAAGACTTACGACAAGCAACCGCTGGCGGAGTTCAAAGCCACTGACGATGATTTCGGAGCCAGTGGAACTGTAACCTTTTCAGTATCAAGTCAAACTGGAGAAGATTACTTCGAAATCATTGAAACTGGGAAGAACGCAGCTCAGCTACAACTGAAGAAATGGCCGAGCGATATCGAACAGAATGGTCAATATACGATAACTCTCACAGCCAAGGACAATGGAGATCCGCCTCTGGAAGTTTCTCAAGAAAACAAGCTCATTTTCGTTTCAGCTCGAGGACCGGAGTTTGATATAAATGATTGGGAGATCTGGGTGAAAGAGAACAAGACAGGCTTAGATTATTGGACGGTAATCCCCGCAGCCTTCGATAAAATCAATGATGACGGATCAAATACTGTACCGATCTACTATTTCATTGACAACAAAATTGGAGATTTTGAATACTTTACTCTGGACAAGACAACACGAAACCTCACAGTTGCACAAGAGTTGGATCGTGAGGTACAGAGCGAGATGATGATATCAGTGATTACGACTGCTGATAGCGACGGACCTCCTCGAGATCCTCGCTCCAAAGCTGTTCTAAATATTTCTGTCATTGTTCTTGATGAGAACGACAACGCTCCAGTGTTCAAGAGTCACTTATACTCTGGTGGCGTCGCTGTTGAAGATGTTCTTGACAAAGTTATTTTGACGGTCGAAGCTACAGATGTTGATCTGAATGATACTATTAGGTATTCGCTAGTGGAGAATAGCTTGTCGACGACAGACTCCTCGATTGCTACGGTAGAAAATCCATTTTTCCTGGACACTTTTACAGGAAATCTTCTGCTGAAGTTCTCAGCGACCAGCAACATGGCCGGCTTCTTCAAATTCGAAATCGCTGCTTACGATGCAGCGGAGCATTCCGACAGAACGACAATTCAAATTTACATAATTTCCCAGAGTAATAGAGTTGTCTTCACATTCCGGAATAATGCTGCACTCGTCAGTCAAGAGAAGCTGTTCGTAATCGATGTATTTTCGAAGACCTTCAAATACATCTGCAATGTTGATGATATTAAGAGCAGCGTCGATTCGAATAATCATGTGATGGATAATGTTACGACCTTGACAACTCACTTTATCGACTCCAAGGATAATCTTCCTATCGCTGCTGATGCTATTATCTTAGCTTCTAGTGATCTCCAAACGGTCACGAATTTGAAAGCCAATCTTCAAGCTAGAGGACTTTATCTCAGTGATGTCCCTACCGGAAGCATTCCTGCGGATTCAAATAATGAGGATAGGACTTTCTGGACTTTGCTCTCGTTGACGATCATTTTTGGAATCAGCACCATCGCACTGTTTGTGATTCATGTCATCAGGACGAAACAGCTTACCCAGAGACTCGATAAAATGGCGGTGGATTGGAAGACCGGAGAGGACGACTTTGGAAAAGAGAAGAATGGAATAGTTCCAACAACTAATCAATTTGCCATGGCTGGATCGAATCCCATTTGGAACAGTTCCAAGAAGGCTGAGGACTTTGGTGATAATGTCAGGTAATTTAAAGTCTTTAATTAGAGATAACTACTAACGTATGCCATTCTCAAATCTCTTCAGCTATCGAAGTGGTGACTCTGATTTAATCGGCATCGAAGACAATCCCGATTTCGGTTATGTAAATACCGCATTCGTGACGGAAAAATCAGCTGATATAAATCAATTGGTAAGTACGATTATAATTCTCTCAACTCGCACGTGCCAAGATGAAGTTAACCCATCGTGTCAACAGTCTCACAGCATTGAACTTGAGTAATGAATATAATCGTTACAAACGGTACCAACATTACGTAAACTTTCCGCCAGCCAAGCTAATCTACTGCATGTCTTTCTTTCAAGGACAATGCCATGCGGATTTCTCAACAACCGCCAGTTTTTTCCTTCGATTCGACTTACAACAACGGGAGAAGTCATGAAGACAAGTGTTGAATCAAGACAGTGAATTATAACTAGTGTGATTTTTATTTATGAAAAATATATATTTGACAATTTGTTAAAGAACCTTTTTGTCTTCGTCCGCATTTCTTCGTGAATTCCGAAAGACTCGAAACAATTTCAACTAATTTATTCAACAGTGACGTTGACAATGATTATGAAGATAAAAATATTGAAATCAAACATTCCGCCATTTCCTTGAGTACCAAACAATGCACATTCCACGCGTATCAACAAACATTAACGGTCTGACTTTTTTACTGCGATCGAGACACTCCATCATTCATCGTCAATGACCGTGCAGTAAAATCGCGAGTTGCGTTCAATATTAGTTTCAATCAGTACCAATAAAGGAGGAAATAGCTACAATCCACGGCCCCTCGTGAAAACGTAATTATTTCTATTTTCAATGCGCGTGATTAGACCTGTTTGAATGGTACTATAAATTCACGTGAATACTGAAGATTAGATGTAGTCTGCATTTTATCGTTAGGGTATCATAGTGCATTAAAGTGTCAGTCTCGGTAAATATCGTAGGAAATATATATCTCCGATTATTTGGCATTACTTCAGTCTTGGGTCTTCATCTGCGTGAAACTATTCGTGCATTTTAAAAAACATTTTTAATTCGGGAAAAACGAGTTAAGGCACGTAAGTTCGATTAAATGTTTATCGTTCGCATGAAATAATTGACCTGTACAATTATTCATAAATTCCTTTTCTTTTCTTCACGGAATAGTAATATTATAATCAAGACATCATGAAGAATCGTGGTAAGGATTATGTACTCGACGATGCGGAGTGTCTAGAAATAGTGAAGAAGAAGCTGTCGAAAGATAAGATGGACAATTATTCTCTCGTGGAGTATGACGTGAGCCCTTTAGACGGAGGGACTGGATTCATGGGACAGTATTTCATCTTGAAAGCAACGGTTGCCTCTTCAGCTCCCCTCCGGGACAGACGAATCATCCGTTTTTTCGCGAAAACTCCACCCCCGGAGAACAGCCCGCAGTGGTTATTCAATGAAGAGTTCGGATCCTTCAAAAAGGAAGTTGCCTTGTACACAGAGGTTTTCCCGGAAGTCCTGAGAGGCTTGGACCAATACAGTATCCCCGAGTGTTTTTTTGGTCTCGGCGGAGACGTTATTGTCCTCGAGGACATGATGCCGGAGGGCTACACAATGAAAAATAAAGTTGTTCCCTTTGATTTTGATCACTGCGCAGTCGTCATGAAGACACTCGCCAAGTTTCACGCGAAGTCAATGATTTTTGAAGAATTGCACAAGAAGAATCTCCTCGAGGAGTTTTCGCACTGTATGCACGAGACTCTGTATTCTCTGAATGGAAGAGGTCAACGAGGGCTGCAGGCGGCCATTGACGGAGCCCTCGCTATGGTTGATTTATTAGATACACTTGATGATGTTTCAAAAACCAAGTTCAAGGAGAGGATCATCTCAATGTCGAGGAATCATGTGCAGAGACTTGAGCCTTCTAAGAAGATGAAGAATGTTCTTTGTCATGGAGATCTCTGGGCTAATAATCTCTTGTTCAAGTACGGGGAGGAAGGAAGCCCTGAGGCTTGTTGTTTGATTGATTTTCAGTTAGCAAGGTGAGGAAGATGTTTACTTCACGCCAACTTTTTTTTCCTACCTCATAATTGAATTTACAGGTACAACCCTCCATCCCACGACATTCTCTGCTTCTTTCAATTCTCAACGACGAGACAACTCCGAGAGGAGCATGGAACCGAACTTTACAAAATTTATTACGACACTTTATCGAGAACTTTGATCGATGCTGGTCTAGATCCAGCAAAGATATTACCACTCGATGTCTTTCTGGACTCTATCGAGGAACTCCGAACCTTTTGCATGCTGCATGGAGTATTCAATATTCCGTTGATGTTGTTGGAGACGCAAGCCATTGGCAACTTATTCGAAAAACAATCCGAGTGCGTAGATGCACTTCTTTTTGATGATCGGAGACCTTTGCTTGTGGGTTCGTTCAACGAGAGGAAATACTACAGGGAGAGGATGACCGATGCACTTCTGGAACTTCATGATAGATTATTCGGTGTAAAATTGTAAAGTCCTAACAACTAACTGTAGGATGTATGTTAGGTGATTTGAGGTATTGAATAATTTGAAAATCACAACTCAGTTTATAGATAAAATGTTTATTTAAAAAAATCTTGGTACACGTCTCCTTTGACTTTCTCAAATCAAATTTAAATCGTACAATATCGTTGAATCAGTTCAATTCTCGTTGGAATTGAAAGTGAGAGAGTAATAGTAGATATTTTTACAAGAACCAGACAGTAACATTTTTATTTTATTTTTATTTCGGATACAGCATGATCAGACGATCGGCTTCGCGCCAGCCAAAGGCTATCGCACTGTGGACATTTTCAGAATATTTCTGCAGTGCGGTCAGAACAGTCTCTTTAGTGACTAGTATGACCCATTATTTATTTAAACTTCAGTTAATACGAAAATTCGGATTTGAAAAAGTGGCGATTCTTTCCCCGAAGAACCTTAGATCGGCAGCTACGGTCGGGGTAAAAAAAATTTATTATCATCTACAAGGTGATGAATGTGTGTGAAATCAACCGTTGGTTAAATGAAAAATTCGATTTTGAGAGAAATTTTTCGCCCTCAAAAATACTAAAAACCATTTTTCACCCGCGGTTCGGGTCCATTTATTCGTGTTAATTACGCGAGTGTAATCTGGCCGCCATCTTGTGAGTGGACGTACTATATATTGTGAAGTGGAAAATTAGTGTTTTATTTTTGAGTAATTAAACTTGCCGGATCATTATTCCCTACTGAGATTGAATCACCCACACATTCCAAATAATGACCTTTGATTTGAGTGGGAAATCGCAATTTTTTATGCGTCACGCGAAATTCCTAGTATAAAATCTTGGGGATTCCAGAGATTCTAGGGAAAAAAAAATAACCAAAAGTGGACAAGACTGGATCTTAACTAAAAAGGAGGGACAGGAAATCGAGGGAACAGGATAAAATAAAATTTCTGGAGTCACCGTCTATGAATATATTTCCTCAACCATAAATCAATGAATAAACTCTTATCTCGTTGTAAGTGAAGACATTGAGAAATCGAGGTTATATTTACAAAGACATTGAAACACGTTGTGATTTGCGAAAACGTTTTCCTTCAGACTTCCCCGTGATTCTGAGAACAGTAACAAAGATGACTGGTGTTGATAAGCCCGTCGAGAATTCCATCAAAGTGAAACTAGAAAACGGCTTGAAGCCATCTTTTTTGGAAATTTTCAATGAATCTTATATGCACAACGTGCCTGAGGGTTCGGAGACACATTTCAAGGTCGTCGTGGTCTCAGAACAGTTCACCGATCAACCCCCAATAAAAGTAATCATCGATTACAATTTGTTTAAATACAATCAGCTAAGAAAAAATAGAATTTCAATAAAAATCCGATAGAATTCTCTCACTAACATTCACTAAAATTTGGTATGATTTTTTTTTCATACGTGCCACATTTATTTTTGTTTTTAAGAGACATCGAATGGTGAACGAACTGCTTCAGCACGAATTGAAGAATGGAGTTCATGCACTATCAATTGTAGTAAGTACTCGATTAATTCTTTTAACGAAAAGAATATCTAACATTTTTTATCCATAACAGGCGAAAACACCAGGTCAGTGGGAACAGAGCAGTCAGACTGTATCCCCAAGTCCAAAATGCAGAGGAGGATTTGGGAAATAGACAATAATTTTTAGTAAACAATTACAAACTCCATAGATCATGTTTCATAATCCACATCAATACGATTGCAAAATCTACCAGAATTGCGAATACAATTATCATTCAAAATGATTGATGTAAGACCAATTGTAATAACTTTTTACGGTGGCATTGATTTCCAATTAATGCAAAACTCATAGAAAAATCGAAATAAAAATTTTCATTAATGTCATAAAGAGTATGAGTCCAGTCTGAGTTTTCCCTCGTTTTCGTTCAGATAAAGCATGTCTGCCATGGACTGTTCGGTCATCGCTTCCTCAGCCTTATCATACATCTAAAAATATAAAATATCAATGATCAAATTCACAGGTATTTCCGTATTTTTTCAACACTCACCCCTCGAAATGTGACATCTTGTGGTGGAGATTTGAAATTAGGCCCAAAATTAACGGACACAGTGGCACTTTTATGGATGGAAACAGTGGGATAATATGCACCTCTGTTCATATCAACAAACGCCTCCCCCTGGGATATTCCATTCTTGTAAAATATTATTTTACTCCCTGGACGGGCTCTGAGCGCCTTCAATGCTTCAGGAACTTGATCTTTCTCCTCGTAATACAGATGAGATTTGAATTTAACGAGAGGCCGATCTTTATACGTATTCGGGATGTGCAAGGAGTCATAAGTATCCGGAAGGATAATGAGAAATCCTAGAGTGTCTCCCTCGCCGTAACCATTGCTGTAATGTTTTCCCCTGCTCTCGTGAAATTTTGTGCCCTTTCTGGATCTCCAGGAGTAGCCAAACTTGTCGTAACCGAGAGGAGCCTGAAGGTTTGCATAGTCCTGTCCCCAGCCAAGTCTGGTAGCCGATCCCTCTGGCATTTCTTCAATCGTCGCTTCCCAGTACCAAGTCCCCCTGGAGACACTGTGGGTCGCCCTCACCATACAATATCCCTTGTCTCCAGTGACAGCCAGTCTGTCCTCTGCTACTTTTAGCTGAGGGGCTCGATCATGAAGAGCTAGGAGGACCGTACTGGGACTCAGGGCTCGATACAACCATCCGGGGATCGGTTTGCCAGCCCAATCACTGCTTTCATCGAATTCCTGACATCAACAATCAATTAATTTGCCAAATCAATGAACTCATTCGACAACTCACAAATTTTCGAGAAGTATCTCTGAATCGGAGAGTGATATGTCGAGAGACAGTAAATCAGTAATTAATTTCTTTTTTAAGCTATTCACCTGTCTGAATGGCGCATGTGGATCAGGCTCTGCCAGGATATACCTGTAACCATCCTTATTGAAAGGGTGTTCCAGAGGATATCCATGAGCTGGTAATTTTGGAGTGGACAGATCAGAGCCCCGACCCTTTTTCCCTGGCCCAGCCCCTGCACCTTCTCCAGGAAATTTGCGCTTTGCATTTCGCCCTCTGATCCCACTCCCTAGAGGTACTGCATCAAAATTGATTAATCTCGCATTTCACTCGTCATTTTTAGGGAAATATTTGTAGTGAAAGACTCAGTCTGAGAGTATTACAAAAAATTAATTACCGTAGTTCAACATCACGACGATCAAACAGAACAAATCGATTCTCGTACTTCATGCGAATGTTTTTTTTAAGCCGTGATAACCGATAAGATAAGGCAATTCACGATGTAATACACGAAATCATCCAAAAATTAATGTCTGCACTGTTGAGGACTTGATAATCCAAAGTTTTAACCCTCTATTCGATCAATTTACAGTTATTGAAGAATTTTTGATGGATTTACTCACCAACATGCTGCACTCCCATCTCAGTTATTTTCAGATGTCCACCTTTGATCATAGCTTCGTAATTGGGTTTAATAAGCACAAGGTCTGGTGTTGTTAATCCAAACAACTGGCCATCAGTATTATTCTCATCCATGGTGAATAGAGTGCCAATGTCCTTCATTAGTGCCCTTTGAATCTAGAAGCAATGTAATGTTCGACATGAATGGATGTCGACAGCCCATCAATCTTGATTGTGAGTCCTTTTTTATATTTCTACTCGAACTTACAGTCGCATGCCAAGATTGTGTAACTCTCCTCGGCATTGTGGTCATGCTTTCCCAGTGTAATTCGATGAAGGGAATAATATCTCGATCTTTATTAAAGAGCATCCGCTGCTCTGGCTCCTTTTGAGCTGCTTGGAGTAGATTTGCTATTGCGGTGACGCACATCTGGGGAAATTCTATAGCCCAAACGAATTAATAATCATATAAAAGTTAGTTTACAGTAAATATATATTCCGAAGATATATCTCGGGTACATCATTTTTGACTGGAAATATATTCGAATATTATTCAGATACATCTTTGGATATATAATTTTCAACGCGAGTAGGACGAAAGATTTTCGGGAAATAATTACTCACGAGCTTGATTTTTCTTGAAGCTCTCGAGGCCAGATGGAGAACAATTTTTGCACATGAATATATAATTCATCATGAAGGGAACTAGTTTTCCCAGCTGATAGCCAATGCAAGACTCGTGAAACCATCTCGTGCAACTGGCGCACAATAATTCAGCGATATTCAGGTTTCGTTCTTTGCCACTGGAATAATTATAAAAACTTAATTCCTCTGTCCACTTACGTAGACAAAAACACACAGAAGCGCAATGCATTCTTCTCGTGATTATCTACCCTTTTCCTTTATTAACCCACCAATAACAATTACTAGAATCCCCATTCAAAGTATTTCGTCCATTTCCCTTGTCGCCGGTTTCTTCTCCTTTAGTTTTTTCCTTCTCCTCATCGACATTAGAACTTTGATTTTCCTTGCTGGAATTATTCTCGATCGACTCTCCTTTCTCAGTGCAACTAAAAAACAAAAATAAACTCAAATCGATTAATCCAACAATAATCAAAATAAATAATATTTATAACCTTTCTATAACCTCTGTGGAAAGCCTTATAAAGGCTCTGAGACACATCTCATCCTCTTTTTTAATTATCCAATGTTTCCGCACTCACCTGACGATTTTCTCATCCGTCATGGTTGAAACAACCCTCACAATTATTTGTAAACAACCAAAATTGTCGAAAATCGTAAGCAATTCCACTCTCTTGAAGGAAACAACTCTATTTTGTTTGCACCCAACAAACAATTTTTTTTCCTACCTTATCGGTAAAAAATTCAATAATTTTTCCACCGCCATCTTTGAGGAAAGTATTGAACTACTGCCGCAATATTGCGGTAATTTTGGCGCATGCGTCGAGCCCCGGGGTTCATGCGCACTGAATTCATTCAAAATTCCAAATTAACTAGTGCCGTATATTCGTTTATCGTTAGTAGTCCATGTGCGATCGTTCGTCCTCGAGGATTTCACGCACATTCTGGAAAGTTTCATAAATAACCCGAGTCGAAAAAAGGCCCTTGTCCCCGACCCCAAAAAAAGTCAAGACCTCAATAAACAATAAATCCGACAACTCGTGTTTTTACCAAACGAACAAGTGATAAATTACTAAATAAACAATACTTCAACCCTCAGTGCCCCATAAATCCGATAATCGTGAGATTTTTCCTCGATGAATGACCCAATGAACTAAAATTAAAAACCCCCGCGGAAGCTGTACCCCGCAAGAGAAATCGATCGTGCACTTCACCCCGAAATAATGCCGCAGAAATAAGTGAATATTCACCCCAGTGACCGAAAAAAAAAATTGTTAATAACCCCTGTTCGTCTCAGATAACGGGATGTCGTGCACGCGCAGGTGACAGAAAGCTCAAACGCCGGCGCGAACCGAAGCCCCTTTCGGAGTGACTCGGGTGCCCTCGAGTATTTCCGGGGTATCCCAACCCCTCTATAAACTCAAAAAATCATCCCTTCCCGTAGCTGAACCCTTGGAAAACCCATTTATTTTCAACTAGAACGAATTGAATCGATTGATTGCACCTGAAAATCTCCCGTTCGCGGAGAACTCCAAAAAATTCCCAAACCTGAGGATGAAAAATGTCAAAGCATGTGGGGTTGCACGTGAATCATTCGAGAGGGCGCGCATCAAGCCCCTACGTCACCAAAAGCTCTGAGCTTATTGGTCCCAGTACCATTGTTGCGTATTGATTGCCACAGACTGTGTTAGTGTACGTAGACTACTTTTTTTTCTCAAGTTAGTGAGTTTACCACTTTGGCTCGTATCGTTGGTTTGTACCCGCGCGCTTCGCGATGGCATGGATGAGTAAACGAGAGACAGAAATCCCTTGAGAGAAGATTAAAAAGAAAAAAAAAATAGAAGAAACAATTTACAACCCCCGAGTGCAAGTGGTAAAACAGAGGGTGATAAATAAGTGAGACTTGACATTTGTTTACTCGAGTGATTGAGAATTTGAAATTAATTTGCCCAAGGTCCTCGGTAGGGGAAGGGTTGATATCCACCAGTGAAGCTTGCCTGATACCCCACTTCGCCCAATAAACCCTTGTTGCTGTGGGGGTGACTCCGGTGGTGGTGGTAAAACTGGAGTAGGAGAGAACGATAGGATAAAGGGGGAATGGTTTGTACTGGAAGGTGGATGGATAAAGGAGGTGGTTTACAGTGGATGTGTGGGTTGTGTTGGTGGAAATTCTAGTGGAGGGTTTTTCTTGTCCTCGATTCGGTGCCATCTCCTTCGCCACGCGCCAACGCCAGTGCGGGTGTTACAGGATTGCGTTTTTATCTTATCGTCATTTTACTATTTCTCCACTTCATCCGCGAATTCAATCGTTACGATAATGCAAGTACATGAAAAACATTACGATAATAGCGGGGGGTAATTGATATTTGGCCCTGATTTTTTCCACATTTCCTGGCTGTTGGGGAAATTTATCGTTGAGTTTAGCTCGCACTCGATCTGTGTTTTTGCCATTTAATCGGCAATTTTTTGAGGGTATCCTGGTGTTCAGGAGGCGACTCGCGCAACCGTGTGACTTCCGGGTCAACGCTAGACGTGGAAAGCGCAAGCGGGATCCTCACTTTACTGGGTTATATGTATATAATACTTGTGTATGTGTTGTATGTACCATTTATCCTGATGTCGCACTCTGCCGTTGGTAAAATAACTGATGAAATATTGCGAGAGATTGGGTGATTTGTTGGAAAATTATAGGAGTTATTATTTTGGTGTTACCCAGTGTGTTATGTGACGGGGAAAAGATCATTTCACTTAACGTACGGTGTGACAATTCAGAGACAGGAATTGAATAATTTAATTGTTTACGCGAGCGTTACGGAGAGGTGTGAAATAATAAAGTGAATTGTTTATTTTGATTTAGTTCGCACGGTTGGATGATTGAGGTGAATTGAATTTGTGGATTAGTACTGATGAGGTGAAAATATTGCGGGCTGTTGATACAAATAATGAAGCATCATCGAATCAAACGTCTAATGCGTGTGGCTGGCCCAAGGGGCCGGTGAATGTGTGATCCTGGGGGCAGAGATCTGCCGGAATGACGACGGAATGCGACGGGTCGACCGAGCGGCCTCCGGTAAACGACTGCCTCACTGAACGAAAATGGTGGTGCTTCATATTATCAAGTATATTCACATTTCTCGCTGGACTCCTTATCGTATTGCTGTGGCGTGCATTCGCCTTTCTTTGGTGTCGCAAAGAGCCCGAATTCGCTCCTAATGATCCGAAGCAGAAGGAACAAAAAGCCGCCCGACAGGGCAAGGAGTTTGAGGGGACTTTTATGACAGAGGCTAAGGATTGGGCCGGTGAACTCATTTCCGGACAAACAACCACTGGACGAATTTTGGTGAGTGACAATTTCCTATTCTCCTTTATTCCGGCGAAATTCACTTTTTTTTTCCACGCGCAAAACTTTTATCAAGTGCCAAATGGTACCTGGAAGTTCATCCGTGAAAAGTACTTGTCCCAAGTACTTTTTTGGTTCTCGGGTGAAGTACATCTGTCGGGACTTGAGAGTACCAGTGAAGTACGTCATGCGAGTATACAAAAATACTTGAATTCAATTGGTATCTCTAATATCTCTCTTTTGAGCATATATATGTCAACCGAAAAATTACTCCTCTCTTCTCCATTTATTTTTGTATCCACCGGAAAAACCGTCACTTGTATATAGATTTGACCCAGTTATGCGTAACGCAGAAGTTCAGACAGACTGTCGTCACGAAAAGGGGTCACCCTTTTCCTACATATTTTTTTTTGCGTGTGTGTACTTCACTGACGTTTGTCTGTAGACTTTAACCTCATTGTTTTTCCTATTTCCTTTGGTGTGAAACGACGGAGGCATTCGGGCTTTCCTTCGGGAGGGATTGTTATGGGAAAACGTGATCGCACGTTCTGACCCGAAACGGCTCTCATGAATTCAACGAATATCGATTTACTCCCACCAAAAAAAATCGAAACATTCATTCGAATCACTATTTTCTTCTCCGAGTAAATGAAAGTGTATCGGATAGTTAGACAAGGGACGAGACGGAAGGCTCCGCCCTCCCGGGGACGTTTTTCCGTCACGGCGATCGCAATACGGGTGCTAGCAGAATTACTTCCATCGGCTAGTGACAAAGAGACGAATTTCCATTGATTTCCTTTAGCTGAAGTAAAAATGGGGCTTAGGGTCGTATCAGTCGCTTCGTAATCATGTCATCGAAATCAATTCCCGATTCGTGAAGTACAATTTTATTCGTTACCGTTCATAATGAACGTGCAATCAGTTGAATTTTTCACCTTCTATTCGAAAAATTGATTATGGTATCACCGGAGATTTTTATTCTCGGTAAAAACTCAAGGTGGATAATGATATACTTGTTAGTAACTGGGTTACCCGTCGCCGAGGGAGGTGGTGGCAGTTCTCTACGGTTGAAAAGTGACTTGTACGGCTTATCGAGTTACACGTCGCCAAGTGAGCGACACTGTCACCTGTTTTATTTTCTTTTCACTCCCTCTCTGGTCATTCCCTTAATGAAATCAGCACGATACACTCATCAAACAATTTTACATCGAAAAAAATCACCACCTCTTCATACCAAAATCCATTGACTTCGCTCCGCAGCGAAGAGCTGACCCCCATCGTGTCAATTTCGTTAGACGAATCCCTGAGAGCTCCGAAGGAGGGAATGGAGATTGCTAAAAGGGTAGATATAACAATTTGGCTTTCTCCCCCAAATTTCAGAGGTGCTGAGAAAAAGGGACGGTGAAGAAAATCGAGTCATTTAATTTCCCGTCTTCCAGGGAATTCCGCTGAGCTTTAAGACTCATTCTGAGACTCGCTCAAAGGTTCTCATGACGTTGAGGGTGTATTATTCACTGGTTTCTATAGATAGATGAGAATAATAGGGCACATTTTGGAGGAAATCTGTCTAATCACACACGTAAACATCACAATCGTTAGCTCATGTTGTTTTGTCACTTAGAAACCTTGAGAGAACCGAGGCGTCGGGACACAGTAGGTTTAGCAACAGTAATAGCACTGTCTGCCAGGGCTAATGACTGTCGCAACGTGGGCAAAACTATCTAAGGTGCCTTTGAAAATTGAGATACATACATTACTGATTTATATCGAATAACATTTTTTCCTGGTTAACGTGCAATTTCCCTTGCCCCTGACGTCTTTTTTTTATTCCAATGCCAATAGTTGGACTAAAGTCGTGACACACAACTTACTTCAAATTAATTTTTTGTCAATCAACCCCTTATCTTACTTCACAATTTCTCAAGCGCAAAAAACATACACGTGTGTCATGTGGAAGTAAACGAGGGAGGGGGTCATTGATTCGCAGAATAGTTTAGTCAACCGGTTACCGTGACAGTTCAGAATTTGTTCATAATAATTCATCTATATCGATTCAAATTTTTTCGAGTAGAATTAACTAGGGAAGAACTAGAAAACTAGTTTTTCCACGAATGTCTCAATCAATAATGAATATATCTACTTTTTGTAATGATTGTATTAATTAACTAAAGAAATTTCTGTCGTCATTTGAATCGCGAAAGTGTCATGAGACAAAGGGACCGCGTATAACCGAGAAAAATATTCCATTACCCATTATTTTTTTTTTATTTTTACCTTGAAAAGTATCGCCAAGTGGCACAGTATTGAATTTAAATATCCAGAGCAATAACTACGGACACATTATATATACATTCTCCATGTATGCGCCGTGACCTGTCTTGTACATATACAAATAACTGAGGGGTTCGAGGTCCTCTTCTCTCTTAGCGATAGTTTCCGTCGAAAGCCCCTGAGGTGTAAACCACTTGTTCAACCCCCCCTCCGATTCCTCCCCTTTCACCCCCTCGTCACTCTTTTTCAGTTTCAGCTTTCATTACGGCAGTACATATAAATATGGTTTGCGCCGGGTGGCAGACTACGTCAGAGCGGCGACTAGATTTTTTAGAGCGTGAACCAAAAAAGAAAAATTAGAACTCGGAGTGAACCGAAAAAAAAATCCCTTGATGCTGGATAAAAAAATATGGCGGTTAGGGGGAGGGGTGTAGAGTGGAGCTATTTTTTTTTTTTTGAGTTTCTTGGGGAGATTAATGGGTAGAGAAAAGGGCGTGCGGAAAAATCGGTGTAATCCCTTGATTTTATAAGTGAGAAATACTCTGCTGTCACCGCCATACTTCTGGCAAGTGAGCTCTTGAAAATTTTCGTGTACAACACAGAATACGTTTGTCACTCGCAACTTTTCACGACATTGTTTCACGCTGCCAAGCATACTTTATCCCTGCAGCACTCAAAAATGATCCCATAATATTATTTTTGATAATTCGGTCAAGGTCTTAAAAATGGTTGAATTTTCTTGGAAAAATTGGGTGAAGTTTCGAGAAAAGTTTGCAACAAATGTCTCTTTCTCCTCTGAATTCTGAATTACTCTAATTTTCCATTGGTTGACCTACTCTGCGCGTTCACTATGACAACTAATTTTCAAATGAAGTAAAAATACAAACGGAACTCTCAAATTTATATATCTATATATATGTGTTTAGTGAGTGGTAATGTCAGATAGTGCGGTATCCCTACCTCACTCAAATAAATTCGGTGGTAGGGATTAGCATGAATTATTCAACGGGCCAAGACCCACTACCACAGTGCCATACATTTTGGTATACGTGGAAGTTGGGGTGGGCAAAAAAGTTGACGACTACCACAAGTGGTAACGCAAACCCGCGACGTAATTTCCTGGGTTTGATTCTCCAGCCACTCGTACTTTTATGACCGTTTACTGAAGGGAATGTGAAACTCGACAGGATAAATGCGCCTCTGACGAAAATGTTGCTAATTTGCGGGTTAAATTCCCATATTTTTTTACTGCGAAGTTTGTGCATCCGGATTTGATAATTTTCAGTTGTAAAAATCTGTAGCTCCAGAGGAATGCTAAACTGATAACCTTAACTTCGACTGACTCTCAATCATAGATTTTCAGAGAAAATGGAAAAAGGGAGTGGTTTAGATATAGATTCCATAGCAAATAGAAAACTACAGAGAGTAATATCCTGCCGTCCAAGAGATAGGGTTCGAAAGATCACTGAATGTAACTCGAGACTTCGTGTCAGTGAGAAGGAATGAGGTTTCCCTCAAAATAAGACTTGAGGGAAAAAAAATGAATTCTCACTCAGACGACCCTCGATCGTCCTCCTGACTCTCACCGTATCCCACACGAACAATCTCTCCGTTTTATTGATCTCTCAACCCAACGAAATAACGGTCGCCAGCCACTCGATTATTCACGTGCAGAGACCAGCAGTTCTTCACTGCCTCACGAAATATTCCGGGGATTCTAAATTATTGAATTATGGAATTATTTCATGAGCATTGGCGAAGTGCGGTTGCAAAAATCATTTCAGTTACGAGTGAAAAATTATCTATCGATTATCTAAAATATTACACCACGACCATTGAAAATTATTTGAGCAACTCATTATTGGGACTTCTGTGAATCGTGATTATTAAATTATAATTTTCATTAATTCCGGTTATTACGGCGGATGTTTCAAATAATTATCTCAAAGATTAAGCGCTTGGCAAACGACCATCACTTTTCGTATCTTCCTGGAAATAATGGCATTCATTTAAATTCGGACAATGTATAATTCAGGGATGTGTCTAGGTGGCAATTAAAACGATCTACGTGCACGAATGTACATAGGATCGTACTGTAGGTTTTATCGTTGGCTTTGCCAAAAATCATTGCGATGTAAAAATCATTTGCCAAGTCTCCCGTAAGGTCAACGGGGTTACGTTCATTTCAGTGGTAAAAATCGTTTCTTCAAAATAGCACATTTATATTGAGCAAGCCCAACGACAGAGTGAGATATAAAATTCAATAAATTGAAACGTCAGAGAAGTGTTGATACTCAGATTCGATTACGTCCCTCTCTATTTATCACCGATTCTATAATTGGTATTTAACCTTTAGGCAGATCGAAGTTGAAGAAAATAAACTTCTATATAAGATGTCATCCAATTTATTCAAAGGCCTCACTCGTTTCGAATTCTATTTTTAAATGGCAAAATCACATATAACTCTTCCTCAACTCTTGAGTTAAAATGAGACGCGTGCGGGTACGAAGGTCTCCGAGGCCGAGACCTCCTTTTCTCGTCAGGAACTCACGGATGTGTACCCAACCCCCTTTCAAAGCCAGCGTTTAAGTCGGTTATAAGCCGTCATTCTCTCGCGTGTTCATTCATCTCAACACCTGGTGGTTTGCTTATATACGTCACACTCACCTTTTCACAATGAGAAATATTAAACGTTCGAGCTTTATCGGTAGATGAAATTTCAGGGTACA